TGCATTTCTTTATGCCTCGTCTCCACGTCATCTGTTGACCTCCGCGTGGCTTCCTCCAGCCCGGATTAGCTATAGCGAATAAAGCGCGGTGTGGTAGACGATGGCTGGGCATACGCAATACGTGCCCTAGCCACCGAAGCCTAGTAATCTGAATCAGGTATGCTAACAGGTTTATGCCTGACAGACTCCCAAACACACGATGGCATACCTCCACATTACTAACCCGTTCGCTCCATCCAACATGAGCTAAACCGCGTAAACACCGATAATCGAAAACTTCTAGTCGACGGATATCTTCTACTCGCAAATTCAGGGTCTCTCATAGTATAACCGACAGAATATAAGCTGAACAGATACTAGGATGACTTCCGTGTACGGATTCGAAACCAGTGAAGGTCATCAACCTACTTTCGAATAAATCAAAAGGAAAAGTGAGAAAACTGGTCTACATCCAATTAGGTGGTGATACAATGATACAAGTGCAACTATGAAATAAACCCGTAATTTGTTTTGAAGCCACGAGACTATGCTAGGTGGTCCAACTCAAAGTAAACTAAGAGGAGCAGAGCGATACAAAACCTAAGGAGTCAACAAACACAGTTAGATATTTGAAGAGGAGTAGGGTACTCACGCGACAGGATAACTGGAATAAACATTTTCCAAGAAGTCACCATAAATAGACCACACTTTGTGAATGTTATCTTGCATTTGAGTGGCATAACCGAAGTTCTTGGTTGCTTCATCTCCCCTAAAAAAATGAAATGAATGAAGGATGACAGGATCAACACAAATAGTCAAACGAAAACAAGAGTATAGTAATCGAATTTTAGACTACGGTTGTACGATGAAGCATTATTGCGTTTTACAGCAACATGTGTGGCGAAAGGACTGATTTTTTGGCTATTGAAATTATAACCTTCATGAAACGTGGTCCAATCAAAACAAGAACAGTGCATAATAACAACCTGACTAGCTACAACCTACAATAACACAAACAAATTAGTACACCGATAACACGTTTGAATCAACGCTTCGTCAAATGGCAAGGGTCACCGATTTATCGCCCCGGAGGACGCGTGTTCGAACCCTACAACAGACACCCCACTTTCCCCTTCCCAAAACCTTTGTGTCAATTAAAAAGAGAAAATAAAGTAATTGCGAGACATGTGAACATGTCTGTGACTGCACCGCTGAAGCTGACGCAGACCAAGATTTAGAAATTCAGCTAACTGTTTGCAGGCAAACACCCAAAAGGGTTACCAAACGTCTGCCAAAACTGCGATTAATAGGTGCAAGCACTGATGGAAGGCGTCATTATCGCCCACCTGAATGCAACACCTAATCAGTTAGTGTATTATGCGCTTCACCAGTTAGTGTAACGACGCGAATTACCGAGAAACCTAACCAAGGGTAGATGTTTGTAGTTAAGGTATTATCACTTGATCTATTCGTTAAACGAGGATTCAATTCACTGTTCGAGAATCCAGCGGTACGGGTCACAATCACAAGTGAAAATGAGATCACAGGGTGCAATCTTATCATAGATGTTTATCTCCGCAATTGTTTCCCATATATCCCATTATTGTGGGCGGTGAAACTTCATGATAGGTTTTGATTTCAACGATACGCTAGATTATAGGCAATTCCCCCAAATGAAGATATGAAACAAATGAAGATTTGTAGGCCAAGGCTGCAGGAAATACTTACTTGTTGAAATGGGAGAAAAAGACGGCCTTGTAACAAAAGAATTTAGCACGATCTTTTTTCTCGTATTGCTGTATGTTGGTTTTTTCCATCAACTCCAGACCCTGGAAAAAGAGACAGACAAAAAAGACGCGAAATATAGCAAAGATCGTTTGGAAGGGAATGCAATCACAAATCACGGATAAGAGGTGAGCGGAGGAGGAAAATAATTGCCTATGCATGCAGACTTAGGATTCGATATTAGGGTTCACTTAAGAAAAAAAACATCCCATGAAAGTGACGGAAAAAGTCAACCAAAAATTACTTAGTGCAACCAAATGGTAGGTAAACCCTGATCATAAAAATTATTAAAATGTAACTCACTTCAAGCAATTCATCTTTACGTAATTCGGCCAATTTCAGTTTGATCTCCTGCTTAGTCTTTTCGAACAGAGGAGGCAAATTCATGCGAGTGTAGCTGAAAGGCAGAATGCGAGTGCACGGGGGAAACGATGCGTCAGTACATGATTTGTTTGGCACAGTAAGGCGTCGGACGCGTGTGAATTATATACGAATGGGTCGGAGCGTGAACCATGAGTCCAGAATCAGAGAAAACAAACGACGACTGCAATATGGGAACGCATTGAAAGGAAGAAAACTTCAGACATTTTTGTTTTAAGGCGGTTTCGACAAAATATCACGAGCGCGGTTTTCGTCACTGTTTATCAGTAAACGACGTGAGAAAATCTCGTCGGCGACTGTCTCCAGATATCGAAAGATTACGACTCAACGCCACCATTTCTATCTCCCTTGAACTGAAAGCGGATTTCGACTCAGTCGACCGCTCTAAACTCTGGAGCTGCCTTTTTCTGAAAGGTGTGCCCGAGAAGTTAATTTCAATATTACGATCGCTTTATACTAATAGCCGAAGCCGAGTCCGACCTTACGGCACTTTTTCACCCGAGTTCACCACGGAAGGTGGTGTTCGACAGGGTTGCCTTCTCTCTCCTTTCCTATTCAACTTTTCCATAGATTAAATTCTTGAAACAGCCTTATCTTCGTGCGACGATTGCGGTATCAATTTACTCCTAGGTGGTAGACTGCCTGATGTAAAGAATGCAGACAACATTTTGCTACTAAGTGAAGAGCCAGGTAAGTTGCAAGCTTTTTCGGACAGCTTGAATGCCAGTGTAGCCATGTTCGGTATGCGTTTTGCACCTCCAAAGTGTAAAATGTTACTACAAGACTGGGTAGGTCCAGCACCCAACCTTATTCTAACTGGAGAAGTAATAGAGCAAGTGGATAACTTTTGTTATTTGAGTAGCTACATTTCACCCGATTGATGCATCACGGATGAAGTGTATGCTCGCATACAGAAGGCTCGGTTGGCATTTGCCGAAATGAGACATCTGTGGCGCCGTCGCGACATCCGGCTGTCTGTGAAGGGTCGACCATATACTGCGGCAGTTAGGTCAGTCCTTCTCTACGTCGAAGAGACTTGGCCACTAAGGGAACAGGATAAAAATAGATTGACGGTGTTCGAACACCGCTGTCTACGTCGCGTTGCACGTGTCTGGTGCGGCAACCGGACTAGCAATGCTGAGGCTAGGCGTAGAGTTTTAGACAGTCGAGGTCCACTGGAGCTAGTGATCGACCTCATAAGATTACGTTGGTTGGGACATGTTTTACGCATGTCAAAATATAAGTTGTCACGGCGAGTGATATTTGCCCAGACAGGTAGCAGTTGGAAAAGGGTCAAGGGTGGTCAAACGAAAACCTGGCACGAGGGCATGAACACCCTAACCAGGAGACTAGGTCACATAGGCCCCGTTAGACTCCCTGGCTTGGGACCTCGGAATGGTTAGCGATGGTTAGAGACACTGAGTGATACGGTTGGGTGTCAGAAACGGTGGAGCTCATGCATCCACGTATTATTCCTCTAACACCAATCTATATGAATTCTTCATCTTCCGCTCGAATTTGCTTTTAAAATTCTTATGTTCTTTCAGCTCTTTTATCCAAATGGGGCTCCAAAAGACAGCAATCAAAACCGGCGGACGAAAGTGCATGGTTAATGGTTGTAAAAACTGAAACTAAAGCGGTAGTTTATGTCTCTCCGTACGACGAATTTTCACGGTTCAGGTTGTCAAAGCTTTTATTTATACCATGAGCTAGGTGTATCTATCGGAATAACGCATGATTCAACGAAAGATCCCTACCCAGGAATGACACCAAGTATATAAAATAACCGAAGCTACGAAGGTCGGGTATTCGATTATATCAGCGGATTCAATTAACCAACACTACACATCAACAGTGGGAACCTCCATCGCGGTTATTCTACTATACATGGAAGCAACGAGGCTGAAAAACTAATGGTGGTCTAACACCGACAGTAACCGTGAGTTTTCGCCTTTTACGACGATTCTCTATGCGACATAACGAAAATGGAACAATTAGATCGGTACAACACTGGGATATGAAAAAATAACAGATGCCAAATGAATGCAAAAATACAGGTACACTACAACTCAACTAATTTAGATATTCTTGGCTTTAGCTAGGGATTTTGCAACGCAAAACAATTTGATTTACCAAATATATCCTCATGTATTGTATCGTATTGTATTGTAATAACTTCTGCAAGCATGAAGTTCACATTTTAGTTAAAAAAACATATAGTTTGGAGCAAGGGAAAAAATGAATAACAATGAAAAAAGAGATTTAAGTTGCAAAACTTAACAAATTCTGTGAAAACCTGTTTTATGTTCACCAGAATACGTGCTAATGAGGGTACTGTGGAGTTAAGTAAGATGATTATTCTAGAGGGAACACAACGATATTGTGATCTAGTTTAGGGATGGGAACAACAGGAAGTTAGGTCAGCGTGTAGCGGATGTGTGGAATCGATGAGAATCTTATCCGCAAACTTTTCATATGCATTCAAATGACGTTCGCATAGGTTAGTTATCAACTCCTTTAGTGGGATTGAAAAGAAACGGCTAATGATGGTCAATCTACGTCGAAGAAAACTAAAATCTTTCTTAAGGAGGTTGGGAAAAATAACAGGTGAACAATAAAGTAAAACAGGGAAAACACATTGATACTTAAAGTAGGAAATAATTGATTGTGGAATACGAAACTGACGAAGTTTACGGATATGAAAAGAAAGTCGTCGAAGCTTACTGACGATGTGTTGAATGTGAGAGGCCCAGTGAAGATTAGTATCAATACAAACGCCCAGGTATTTAAGACAGTTTACCCGGGATACTGGTGTGATGAAAAGCAGCAGGGAGGAAACTCACAATAACGTGAATATACTGTTCGTTTATTTCATGATAACCGGAAACCTAATCCCTGGATGTGACTGCCAGTAGCATATCGCACGAAGCCGCTTGAGGACAGGCATGGCAGTGAGCCGCAAGACAACGAAGCTTCTCACAAGGAATTCAGGTGGCGATGACAGAATTCTAACCTCGGAATATAAAGTGCAAATTAGGTTGGAGACTTCTCGAGGGAAGACGTTTTGATCGACAAAGAACCTCAATGCCACGAATATCACAGAGGAAAAGCTCAATCTCTTGATTGCATGCACTTAAACATAACAGATGAGAGGTAAAACAAGAGATTGGAGAAACGCTAACGTTGGTGATCAAGAGGAGTGTGAAATTGGATTTGATTAATTCTATGAATAGATCGAATCATTTCTGATTTGTACAAACTTCATCGCGGCTCCTGTCCGATGTGAAGTGGATAGGGTACTAAACGATCCAGAGCCATCTTGTGCATCTGATTTCTTTTCTATGCAAAAGACCGCAATGTTTTACAATGTCACCGATTCACAATGATTCCTATATGGGCCGGGTGGCATACACATTAAAGTGACAACAACAGACAACTCCGAATGATGAAATCGTGTAAAAGCAGTTTGTAATGCGTAATCATTGCGCCACCGAGTCAGTTCGAGAGTGGAAACTCCGGTGTCAAACGTATATCAATCATCGGAACACGAGTTGAACAGTTTATTTTTCTCTAGGGTATGACAATGACAATAGTGGGTGATATCTTTTATAACACACCTTAGTGTGATGAACAGCAGAGAGGTTAAACCCCTTTTTCACGAACACCTGCCATTGAATAATCGAAAACTCGAGACTTAGAGTGGTGAACTTTATAAGGCCCCCGCTAGGTTAGACGTGATATGCAAATAAGATCACAGAGCAATAAGAAGACAACTTACCGATCCAGATGTTGCTGAGCAATACTGGGGAAACGGTATTTGCGTGCTCCACGAGCTAGTTGTAACTGACTGAGAGCTAGCTCTCGTTCGCATACGGCTATTAGATTTGCCTTGATGAAGGAAAAAAGAAGAGAAAGAAGGGTTGAAAATGCATCAATTTTGCTTGAACAGTGAAAAAAAACATTTATTCAAAAGTAGTGACGGAAATGGGTACCACCAGGATTTTTCGTCAATGTGGAGATATTACACTCAAATTCATGACTACTGGCGAGTTTCAATGAAGAGTAGGTACCCACAACGAAAAACAGATGAAGAAATTGCGCATAGCGGAGTGTGAAAAATTATACTCGTCCAAACATCACGTTCCGAAAAGATCAGTACTGATTGACTGACATTGACACTCTATCACACCCATACACTTGGAATCCGGCCCCTCGTATGAGAGATGAAAGCGGTGGTTGTGCCAACCAGATCACAAGGCTGTTCAGAACCGTGGGGGATAGTTAACCCAGATATTATCTCTGATGACCATTACTAATCTGGGGAATCAATCTGTCTGGAAGAACTGATGGTTCGGTGTGAGAACAGTCGGCCAAAAGCAAAATAATCTGAGATTGTTGAAAATATATTCCAGAGTCGTCAAACTTCTGGAGATCATAAGAAATTGGTTACCATTATCAAACAAACCATAAAAAGTGATAAAGAGAAAACCAAACCAAATCAAATGTTTCCAGAACACGACTCTGTCGTGTGAAATCTTTATGAAATCATATACATATGTCATGTCGCTTTTTAAGACTACTACTAAACAATTACCCAAATTTCAGGTTTGAGCTACAAGCCAGAGTCGGGAGTAGATCCTCGAAGATAGAAAGTGTACTACACAATGATTTGGAATTAAAATCAATACAATATCTACACTTCACTCTATCCAGTGCGAGTATCTGACTTAACCGCTCGAAAATATGCCTTAAGAGACCTCCGAGTTTTTAGCCTCAAAGTTCGAGACCTATCACCAACATCCAATTTTGTTCGCCGGTTAGCACTCACCCCCTCCAAAAATGCACCACCAAAGTGAATGTGCATAAGGAAACAAAAAAGTATAAAATACTAATGAATTTTAATGACGTCGGATAAAAACT